TGAACCGCTAAAACGACCCCTGTGGAGCTCATATCATCTGTTTCAGCAGACTCCAGTGTCAGGACTGATCGGTATGATGGTGGTAGGAGGCTATGGATAATATGGATTGTGGCATGCTTTGAGGGGCGTTTTACCTGAGGTGGGGGATTTGCAGCGATCCTCTGAGGTGGCAGAGCCCTCGCTAATGTCACAAAGCCCTGTAGAGAGAAAGAGAAACTATGTCACTATGGAAAATGTGTTAAGTGTGCCAGTGTGCTGTTACCTTGTGAAAAAGTAGTCTAAGATGTATTTTAGTAGACAGGACAATTGACTATACTCTTTAGTGTGAGGTGCAGTGTGTAGCCCTTGTTCTGATCTCAGAGTTGAGAGGCAGATGGGCAGACAGGAGCTGAACCCAGCTGCTCTGATCAGCACTCTCCCTGTGCGCATATCCGACAGATCCCAGCCCCCCACTAAATATCACTCATTACCCCCGACACAAACACACACGTACACACTAGATAATCTTACAACCAGTCCATAGCCTGATAGCCAAGTCCCAGCAATCATCTCTAGAGCCCTGCATTTCAGCCCGGGCCCGACAGGTCCCGACTTTTTTACGCCCCTCGGGCCGGGCTTCGGGCCAATTTTCACGTCATAGTTCAGACGCGGGCCGGGCCTCGTGCCTGTTTTAGGCTTCTCCTTAGTTTTATATTTTAGACATCCATCAATTAGTGACGAAAAAAATTGCAGCGCTGGTGGAAACAACACGAGACCGTGCTAGCGGCTCGACGGTGTTTATTGTCCCGCCCGCAGCAGTATAGTAGTAATTTAAAGCTTTCTATAGATATATTTATCATGTCTGTGAGGCATGTTTTCGCTGAGTTCGGTTCATTTTTGTGAAGCGCTCCTGTTCAAGACGAGACGGCAGAAAAGCGTATCATGTTTTTGTTGATATTGTGAGTGCACACAAATAAAAGTAGACCCTTTACAGCTACGAATGATGTATTACTCTTACCTTTATGGGCAAAAATGACGGCGTATCCACTGAAAAAAATTCAAGTGATCGCGCTGGCGCCTCCATGTCCTGCAAAGCTTGAACTGTTTTATATCTATAGATTTTATTTTAGGCAAGTCGTGATGATTTGAGAAGGCTAAATTGATCAAACTCTTTAGTGTGAGGTGCAGTGTGTAGCCTTTGCTCTGATCTCGGAGTTGAGAGGCAGATGGGCAGACAGGAGCTGAACCCAGCTGCTCTGATCAGCACTCTCCCTTGCGCATATCCGACAGATCCCAGCCCCCAGCTAAATATCACTCATTACCCCCGACACAAACACACACATACACACCAGATAATCTAACAAGCAATCCATTGCCAAGTCCCAGCAATCATCTCTTCCTTACTAGCATGTGTTTAGATGCAATTGTGCCATCCACCAGCAGGGGTCACACTGCTGTATTCCCTCACTGCACAGCTGCATGTCCTGCCAATGGTGTTGTTAAAAGGCTCACTGTGTTCATATATATGTGCTCTGTCTATTACAGATGAAAACCATGTTTGTGTGCATATCAGACCTCCAGAAGGCTGTCGGCTCTTGCGGGGAGATCGCAGTTGTCTCTGATACGGATCATTAGAGCTGTACAATTCCACAGTTCCCAGATTCAACAGATTCAACAGATGTAAGTAATCCACTACTGCCAGACCATTGCTATTGCCAAACACCACCCTATGACACACATGACACACATAGACAGCAAGTGCTTTTGTCATCAAAGTGTTGTGGGTTTAGTGCTGGTATAGTGATTATTTAATCAAATTAATATAATTTACGCACACAATCATTTATCATTTATACACACATTCAAACGTTTGATGCATTAAAGGATGCATTAAAATGATCAAAAGTGACAGTAAAGCCATTTTATTCTATCCACTTATTCTATATTACTTTCTATTTTGAATTCTGTTCTTCAAAGTGAATCCTGGGGGGGGAAATGGTTTATACTGGTATGGGAATACTTTAATAATAAGAAAAAATTGTACGAGTGCCAAATCAGCATATTAGAATGATTTATGAAGAATCATGTGACACTGAAAATTGGAGTAACAGTGATGCTGAAAATTCAGCATTACACCAATAAATTTTTTTTTAAAGGTATTTTTAATTGTAATACTATTTCACATTATTATTGTTTAACTGTATTTTTGATCAAATAAATGCACCGATGGTAAGCATTAGTGACTTCCTTCAAAAGCGTTACAAAATACAGACCCCAAACTTTGAAGGATTGTGTATGCCAAGTTTTAAAAAGCCTTATGATAATTTTGTGTGAGGAACAAACCAACATAGTTCATTGAAAATCTTGATATATATTTAAATTTATGTTAATATTTTAAAATATTTTAATATAATAAAAGAACAAAGCAAATATTGTCCTTTCATAAACATTTATGACAGTCTGCAGCATTTGCTGAGCCACCTCATGAAACAATGTAAAACAAGTCTTCAAATCTTCAGGTAACTCACAAGCCATAGCTGGAGTTGATGGTCAAGCTGCTGATCTGCTGGGGCGGCTCTCCACTGACCCACACCAGCTGTACCACCAGCTCCACCTGATACCCTGGAGACTGCTTCAGAGGACTGCTGCGCACCCTGAGGGAATGACAGAGAGAGGACATGGGTTATACACAGTCCATGCCAAAAAAAATTTTACAACATTTACTCTATAATATCATATATTACATACTGAGGATGGGCATGAGTACCCAAGCACTTGAAAGTGTCATGTTTAATCACAAAAACTAGCAAAATCTAGTAACAGCTATACAAAGATGTGCCAAAAAGGGGCCTCACAGTGCAGTTGTCAGACAACAATTTGCGTCAATACTGTGAACACTAACTTTCAGTCAGTGGCAACTACATCCCTCAACGCTCTCTTTGGAAACAGCCAGACAGGGCGCAGCTGAATGGAACAGAACACAGAAGTCCTGAAAAGTGTTTGTAAAAGCTGAACTATTTTTAACTTGACACTTAAATTTGGTGCATATTATCTGTTGGGTTCTCACAAATCAAATAAACTGATCATGTGAACTCCTTTGTAAAGACAGATGTTTTCAATCCAGTGAAACACAAGATGCTCTTTGGATCATTTTCAAATCATGCTGGATCACCTGGTCATTAGGTTTAACACAAATTAGTGGAGTTAATATGGGCTGAATGCTGCTGTCAAAGCAAATGGGCAACATACCAAATACTAAAAATACAAAAAAATAAGCCTTTTTTTAATTTTGTAATCAAAATGTTCCACCGATAATATCATTTGCATTGAAAAAAATGTCTAAATTAAATTTAATTAAAATAGAGGCATTAACACGAGTAGCCTTGGACTTTTGGATTCCCTGCTATGTGTATTAAAATACAGAATTACTTGAGGCAGGGTATGTTGTCTCGGATCCCATCTGATGAGTTGCTTCTAGTGGAAGTGTGTGTCTGAGGGGTGGCGGTTTGTGGACTGGGGGAGGTGCTTGGTGTGGGAGGAGCTGGTGTCTGATCTCCTCCTCCTTCTGGAGACTCCAGATCATTCAGCTCATACTGTAACCTGACCTCCAATAACTGTAAAACACACACACATGTACACATGTAATTGACACTATTGTGCTTGAGAACAGATGGGTATGAATCAGCTAAACACACTGAGTTAATTGATCCCCATCGGTGTCGCTATTCTTAATATGAGACACGCTAATTGCTGTGCGTGTCTCTTCCAAGTGAGTGTGAGAGTCACGGGACTGAAGGTGCTAATAGGTTTAATTTGCCCTCATTATACAGAAGTGTGAACGTTCTGTCAGCAGACGATGGTAACACTAATGGTTTTCCCACATTTGCGCTGAGCATGCGCCTCTGTTAACCAACGAGATTCATTCCTGTGCCTGAAATTCACGCGTCTCCAATATGACTGTATTCAAACATTTTATTCATTATTATCCTGTTTATATGAGTCATGTATTAATATGTAAATAAGTTGCATTGATTAAGCTTTAATAAAGCACTATTGCTTAATTGCTTCAGTCTACCACATTATATATTTTCCCACAATAAATCATATGGAAATTCTAATTATTCACGGATATATTTTCTAACAGCATTACCATAAGCGCTCATTTATTTATGGGTCACGGAAGCATCAGTACACAAATGTACAGCTTGCAAAAAACAGGGAGAGGGCAAAATGAATTCAGTATTAATTATTCAAGCTCAATATACAGCTAGATGTGGTGAACATTAATTAAAACGGCTTTGAAAGGCTTAGGGATTTAGTTAAGCATCTGAGTAACAACTGTTCCTCGGATATCCTTAGTTGGCTCTGTAGACGGCACATACACGTACAAATGCACAAACACATTCAAGTTACTGAACAACATCCATTTAATGAACAGATTTTATATTATTATTAATGTTATGAGTCATGGCAGTTGTCAGGAAACTAAAATAACTCGAGACGGGGAATAAGAGAGACTGAGAGTGTCTATAAGGGCAGCATTACTCATTACACTCCAGAAAACAAAGTATTTTTTAAGTCAAGAGCACCTCAATTAAAAAAAAATCTTACATAATTCTTACAAAATAATTCTAACATTAAAAAGTATAAACAACAAATTGTTACCTGCACAACCTCTGTGGTGATTTCTTGTTTGCTGAACCTGTATATGATGACATGGGCAGAGACACCAGCCACACAAAGCATGCGGCTCTCGGGACACCAAGACATCAACTGAATGGCGAATGGGTCCTCATCCACAATCTCTGTGCTGGGTTTCTCCTCCTTACAGCGTGCCTTCTCAAACACCTTAGCTGTCTTCAGCTTGTACAGCACGTGGAGCATTACTGAACACATGGTAAATGGAATTCAAAGGAAAAAGTAAGAGATAATTGTAGTCAACCAGTCATTAACACAAAATTAGATTTCCCCTTCAGGAACTCGAGCTGTGTCAAAACGCTACGGGAACGCCTTCAGCGGGACCACACTCTGAATCACGTTTAATCAGTCCAATGGATGGGCGAGACGTCATGACCAGGAAGCTTAAAAGCATGTGCGGTGGAACCGGTGTCAGCTTTCTGTCATTCAGCAAGCGCTCTGTGTGTGTGTCAGTCGCTATCTGTTTGTGAGTTTTATTTAGTGTTGTTTGTCCACTTGTAAGCTCCATTATGTAAAAGCTTCAGTCAAGAGAAGCTTTTGGGCGAGAGCAGGTAGCGTTCAGGCTGTGTTCCTCCCTGCCCGCGCTATATTCGGGTAGGAACACACACAGTTTGTGTGATGTCTGCTTGGGAGCGAAGCACGCAGAGTCAGCTCTCGAGGGAGCCGACTGCCTTGCTTCGCTCTCAGAAGGCTCTCTTTGAGGAGGGAGCCTTCACTAGCGTTTCCCGTGGTGCTGGTCCCGCTTTCGCCGAGGTGGAGCGGCGGCTGTGCTCATGGGTTTCGCATATGGATCCGGTGGAGGGAATGTAGACGGGCGCGTCCCTATCTACTTCCTTAACC